GTCAATAATCGACCATTTGCAAGCATGTGTTACACCAACGTGTGGTTGAACCGTAGGTCATGCATGGTCCTAATGTTGAATTAGTTGACCATTAGGCGAATTTCTCCCATTGTACGTGAAAGAACTCCCGTGTCCATACCATATGTCCCTCTTGCGTTCAATTGTCCTTGCGTTCCTGTAGAAAGACAACATTTGGAAGAGTATTTTCAGTTCCCAAAAAGGTGAATGTCAATGAAGGCCTTCATTAACTGTGGGATACCCCATTTCCATCTCTAAGATGTCGTTTGGCTAACAATCATTCTTCTTCTGTTAGGTTTTTTAGATCTCAGGTGACAAAAACGACAGCCATGGAAGAGGGTTAGAAGAAAAGCAGCAAACAACAACTTTCCTAATGATTTTAATGCAGTAGCCTATAGTAGTAATAGTTATTCAACAAGAATGTTAACGATTATTTTTATTATTAGGCCTGTTTATCTCCATAGTTATCATTGTGTGCGATTTTTAAAAAAATCAAACAATGTTTTATTAAAGGCTATTCATCATAAATAATAAGAGCCCCAATTATTATTATAATACTCAATAATAATAATAATAATAATAATAATAATAATAATAATAATAATAATATAGGCCTAATATCCCATTTATTTCTAAATATATAGATATATGAATAAGACATATGAATCATCTGTTGCTCTTTTTCAACACCTCAAGGACATCGCTAAAAACGATTTATAACGACGTTATTCCCATTAATAAAGAGGTGACACCATTATGCAAATACTAGGCTATGATTGGCTTTAGGCATAGGGCCTACTCACCAGAACCATTTATTAGTGTTCAGCTATCCCAGCAATATCAATTAAAATCATAACTAATGACGCTCTCCCTTGTGGAGCTTCCAGTTTATTGTGGCGGCTCCTCGCACGACAATGACGGTCTTAATCTGGTTAGAGAGCACCTGGGACTGCGACGCTCCATAATCACTTTATATTAAGGGCCGCGGCGCACACAGAGATACGGAGATGGCAATTTTGCCATCCAATATTCCGAAGGAAAACCACTCTCGAATACACTTTTCTGTTGTTTATACATCTAAGTATTTTTGTCAACAAAATGCAACTGTGGTGAATGTCAACCACAGTAATGTTGCAGGGCTCAATCTCTTGGGGTTGACCACATTGTTATCGGCCTTTATAGAGCACAATCGTTTAATAGCTGCTGATATGCCTAAATCCCTTTAATGCCCCCCCCCAAAAAAAAACATTACAAAAAAGCTCATGTGGAATTATGAATTTTTGATTAAGTAGACTATATTCCAGGCCCAAAAAAGCCACGACTCTCACAAGTAGCCTAGGGGGAAATGCCCCTTTAAGAGACATTTCTAATTTCTGACAGAAAAAAAATGATTTAGATATGGCTATCCTTAGGCAAACACATTTAGAAGGGAAATAAGTGGGCAGAAATGTTTTGTTGTTGTTGTTGTTCAATAAAAGCATAATCTTTTGCCCCTCTATGGGGCAAAAAGATTAGTGTGTTAAAATCAAATTTTATACATTTTATTTTGGCATTCTTTAGTAATTGACTCTTAAAAGCTAAGATATCATATTTTAATTAAATATATCAAATATCGGAACAAAATGCCATCGCACATCTCACTATTAATATCCCCACTATGATGAGGTTTTGATCCACTGTCCCTGTTTTTATTTTCGCCCTTCCTGTCCAAATCATTCTAAAGTATTTCGAAATGGATTGTGTAACACAAAGAAGTTACTTATAGATGATTTGGAAAATGCTAATATAGGTACCATTGGGGCGTTTTGCCCCAAACATACTCACTTTAAATTGTACTACTTTGTTAAAAACTGATTACAATTTTATCTGTAACCAAGTGGATTATGTATCTTTCTGCTCCCCTACTGGTATAAATATATATACACTACATGGCCAAAAGTACGAGGACACACCTGCTCATCGAACATCTCATTCCAAAATCATGGACATTAATATGGAATTGGTCCCCCCATTGCTGCTATAACAGCCTCCACTCTTCTGGGAAGGCTTTCCACTAGATGTTGGAACATTGCTGCGGGGATTTGCTTCCAATCAGCCACAAGAGCATTAGTGAGGTCGGGCACTGATGTTGGGCGATTAGGCCTGGCTTGCAGTCGGCGTTCCAATTCATCCCAAAGGTGTTAGATGGGGTTGAGTTCTGTGCAGGCCAGTCAAGTTCTTCCATACCGATCTCGACAAACCATTTCTGTATGGACCTCGCTTTGTACACGGGAGCATTGTCATGCTGAAACAGGAAAGGGCCTTCCCCAAACTGTTGCTACAAAGTTGGAAGCACAGAATCGTCTAGAATGTCATTGTACGCTGTAGCGATACAATTTTCCTTCACTGGAACTAAGGGGCCCAGTCCGAACCATGAAAAACAGCCCCAGACCATTATTCCTCCTCCACCAAACCTTACAGTCGGCACTATGCATTGGGGCATGTAGCGTTCTCCTGGCATCCGCCAAACCCAGAATCGTCCGTCGGACTGCCAGATGGTGATGCGTGATTCATCACTCCAGAGAACGCATTTCCCCTGCTCCAGAGTCCAATGGCAGTGAGCTTTACACCACTCCAGCCGATGCTTGGCATTGCGCATGGTGATCTTTGGCTTGTGTGCGGCTGCTCGGCCATGGAAACCCATTTCATGAAGCTCCCGACTAACAGTTACTGTGCTGACGTTGCTTCCAGATGCAGTTTGGAACTCGGTAGTGAGTGTTGCATCCGAGGACAGACGATTTTTACACGCTACGCGCTTCAGCACTCGGCGGTCCCATTCTGTGAGCTTGTGTGTCCTAACACTTCGCGGCTGAGCCGTTGTTGCTCCTAGATGTTTTCACTTCACAATAACAGCACTTATAGTTGACCGGGCAGCACTAGCAGGGCAGAAATTTGACGAACTGACATGTTGGAAAGGTGGCATCCTATGACGGTGCCACGTTGAAAGTCACTGAGCTCTTCAGTAAGGCCATTCTACTGCCAATGTTTGGCTATGGAGATTGCATGGCTGTGTGCTCGAATTTATACACCTGTCAGCAACGGGTGTGGCTGAAATAGCCGAATCCATTCATTTGAAGGGGTGTCCACATACTTTGGCCATGTAGTATGTATATATATATTTACATATACAAAATTATAGATCTAACTTCATTATATTATGTATATAACTTTTTCTAAATGACAAAAAAATTAATAAATGAACCTCAAAATCGTTTTGTTGTAGTGACTTAAAAAGTTGAGATGAGACAGGTGAAATGTTTAGTTGAGCAAGACTAGTGGCATCCAGGGAAAGTGTTGAAAAAAAATTGGTGAAATAAAGTGGTTTCTGTGAGAATTACAGGAGGGGGGCGTTTAAACCCGAGCTATCCTACATCTCTCGTATAAATATCCTCATACAAAATTGTATTTTCGTTCAGTTTACTGATTGGAAATGTGACCAAACAATCTGTGGGTAATATTAGGCTATGTTGAATTTTGAGACAAATAACCCGTTGTTTGGTTAGAACTCAAAGGCTTCGCTTGGAATGATCTCGATACTTTTGATTGATTGGAGCGGTGAATGAAAGGAAATAAGCTATTTGACTGACGGGACGTGTTCAATGAGCCTCCACAAAGACTGCGCTTCTGAACTGGGAACAACTGTGTGTGTGCGCGTGCGTGTGCGTATGCTCGCGCGTGTGTGTGATGAGCGAGAGACCAGTGAAGATCAAACACCATATTTATGTTGATTTATTTTCCATTTTGTACTTCAACTATTTGCACATCGTTATAACAATGTACATAGACATAATATGACATTTGAAATACCTCCATTCCTCTGAAACGTTGGGGAGTGTAATGTTTACTGTTAATTTCTGATTGTTTATTTCACTTTTGTTTATTATCTATTTCACTTGCTTTGGCAATGTAAATATGTTTCCATGCCAATAAAGCCCATTGAATTGAATTGAGAGAGTAAGGGGGGGGGGTTGACACTCATGAAGTTATAAATAATGTCTTCACACAATTGTACTTCTTTCGCTACAGACAACTTTTACTGCACTCCCGGCGTCATACCCTGCTGGGTCGACCGCGAGGCGCTCCTTATATTCTAATTAGTGCACTACTGTCTAAATACTACAATAAATTCCTGTATTTGTAGCATCACTTTGCATAGCATTAGCAAACAGTGTGTGTGTGTGTGTTTGTGTGTGATTTTAGAGGCAGACAAATGTGCATGTGCAATGCCGTTATGAAACAGTCACAACATAATAAATGGATAAATGAGTGACTGTTGACTTACAGACTCAGGGGTAGCGTAGCCTTCACTAAAAGACGCATCTTCATCCTTCGACATGTTTGGACCAGATAAACTGTTATGGCTGGAGGGCTGATCGTGGATCAGATTATGTGAAACAAAAGCTCGAGGGCACCACAAGACTCAAAACACATCGCCTTGAACTGGTGAGGCCGCTACAGAATACATTTTCCGCTGTCGACCAATCAAAAAGTATCCTCAGTCCCCGGGACTTTCGCCTCTCTAAGCAAATCAGAGGCCAGGAAAAACTGAGGTAGAAAGGAGAGCAGCAACTTATAAAATGTTTCACTTCCACCTATCTTTACAATTCCCATCAAGAGTGTCAACAACTACTCCAACTAAGCGGCTTCCAATTTCAACAGAGGCTAACATCGCTTTGTCAAACGTTCACTATGTTCACACTCCACATTGGATATCGACGAACGCACCATTCTCCAAGGATTTAACTTGTGTTTTTAGTTGCATGTTGTTGTTATTTTGACGAAACAACTTGCTACTCCCTAGGACGTGGAGGCTATCCTGTTGCTCCATCAAAGCCTAAGTGTAGTCTATTACTTTTTGGGGGATCACAGAATATTTCTGAAGTTCGCGTTTTGGTGTTGATTTTGGTCCAGCGCAAAGCTTTGTTGGCGGAGGTTTAGGAGACATGACAGCTCTAGCCGGGGGCATACCGAGGATGATGCGCCCGACACACCACCAAAACTACCCGCGGGGAGGCTACTCTCTGGAAGGTAGGCAGTCGCAAATAAATATGGGTCCAAATGGAACCAAGTGCATGTTTCTTGCGTATTGGAAGATTTTGTTTGTTTGTCATTGATTCAATCAGATAGCAAGTGTTGATATTTTGTCAACTTCGAACAGATGAAAAATTGTTGTTCGTCTATAAATAATGTTGTTTGCCTTTCAACAGACAATTAGGCTACACATGAACTAGAATTGTGACAGTGAATCATAGTTGATATATTCACAAAAATGGTATGCTATTGGAAAGTAACCTATACACTACTAGGCCATGTAACAATCGCTGATTCCGTTGAATTGACATAGCAGCTGTTATCAAAAGAACGACAATGCTCATGTTATGAATTTGATATTTATCGATTTAGGCAACATTGTGCACTATTAATTAGGTCTAATGTAAAAACAATACCAATCAACCTCTTGCATATACCTAGCTAGATTAAATTGTATTTTAGATATCAACATATTTTCTTGCAACAGGTCTCTCTTGAAAGATATAGCCTATTTTATTTTCTCACTGAGACAAATCAGGATAATAAATAAATATAGGCCTGATTGTTTGGGCTTTTTTGCTGTTGTTGTTATTTTTGTTGTTGAAGTAATTGTTGTTAGTGAATGACATGCGTTCCCTCCTTCCAGTCTCTACCCCGTTAGGCCAGGGCCGGGTGAACCAACTCGGTGGAGTGTTTATTAACGGCAGACCCTTGCCCAACCACATCCGCCACAAGATCGTGGAGATGGCCCACCACGGCATTCGACCCTGTGTCATCTCCCGCCAGCTCCGAGTCTCCCACGGCTGCGTGTCCAAAATCCTGTGCCGGTATCAGGAGACCGGCTCTATCAGACCCGGGGCCATCGGAGGCAGCAAACCCAAGGTGAGGGCCCTAGAACCGGGTTGCAAGACCTGGCTGAAATAGGCTTTGATAATCAATAGCAGAACATTTTATTTTTATTTTCAACTTTTAACCAAGCCCATATGCTCCAACCCTATCAACATCACTAACGACAAGAGAGAGTTAATGGGAGATGACAGTCCAGAAAAGTAATGTGCTATCTAAAAGGACACGTAATGTGTTGGTATAATTTATCGAATTGTTATGTGCTATTAATTCATTCCCAATTTGAAATAGACTACTTTTTTTCATTGATAAGGGCATTTGGTCTGTGTTTTAAGCACACTTATACACACTCTATTAACCCACCAAATGTGGATGTATAGTCAAAACCTAGGTTTTATAAACTATCAAGTAAACAATCAAACTCAACAGAACCAAGCACAGGCTTACCCCTTAGGCTACTTGTTATTTTGTATTATGCACTGTCTAATTTATTCAGAAAGGAAACCGTATTTTGCAACAACAATATACTGAAAGAAATATGTTTGCATTTTTGGCATGAAGCAGACAACCACCCCAGACGTGGATAAGAAGATCGAGGAATACAAGAGAGACAACCCAGGAATGTTCAGCTGGGAAATCAGGGATACATTACTCAAAGACGGCATCTGCGACAGAAACAATGTCCCCTCAGGTAGTTACATTTTATTGATAAAAAAACAAACAATTTGTAATACATACAACATCACTAAAATACATCACTACAATATATCTGAACTTTTCCAATCCTGTCATTCAAAATAAACACTTATGGACGGTAGACTATAGGCCTACTTGACTGAAATCGTCTAAACTTTTGCATAGTAAAAAAGGCAATGTTGCAAATAATTTGTCAAGCGAGGATATAGCCTATGCCTAATAAATCATAACTGCAGTTGGCTAAATAACGAAAACAATATTTGAATGTATCTGTAAACTTTTCTGAAAGTTAAAATGTTCGCCATGCATTGCCTAATAACGGGAAATATGAATGCCATGTGTGAACAAATCAACAGGTGCTATAATGGCAATATGAATAGAATGTTAGTATGTCTAATACCTGTTTTGATACAAGTTTGCTCATATCCTGTATTCATGCATGCAAGAAAAAAAATGTAGGCCTATAATTTGATATTTTGTTTCGAAGTGAGTTCAATCAGCCGCACAATGCGTTGTAAATTCGGGGGCGGTGGAGGAGAAGACGAGGAGGACGATGATGAAATCGAGAAGAGGGAATTGGAAGAGAACGAAAGAAGGGCGAAACACAGCATCGACGGCATCCTCGGGGATAGACGTAAGTAATGGTTTTAATCAAAAGTAGTGCAGAGCACTGGTGATGTTGAGGTGGCCTAGCCGACGATATAGAGTTCTGTTGGACAAGTGTGCAATTCTGATTTAGATAGGCCTACTTATTTCTTATTTCAGAAGTAGGACCATCGTATGCTTTTTTCCTCTCCGTTTTCTATATTTGGTTGTGATAAAATATGTGTAGAGTTATTCTTTAGAAGTTTCGTAAAAGTTTGTTTATTTGTTGGCCTCTTGAGTCAGTTGGTGGAACATTTAGGGAAATGGAGAATGGGGAAAATTAGTTTTTGTCTCTTAACTATACTGAATTAGAAGATATCTGTACCATTTAAATTCAGATGATAGACAAGGCTCAGTTGGTGTAGACTAAATAAAGTCCAAGCATGAATTGGAATAGGACTACAATTTATCGAAATAGGAATGATCTTTAATTTCCAGTGCTTCCATTTAATTACTTAATTTCCCAATCCTGGATTGAATAAAGTTGGAATAAATGATTTACTAAACAATTTCTGGACGTATATCTGTTGACCAGAATTTTATTTTGCTTTTGTTTTCTTAGGCTACGGTTGGTTTATCAAGCAGAATGAGTCCTGTGCATATTATATTATTTTACTTGAACATAAAAAACGAACATTCAAAAACCCATGGCACTTGACAGATAACTTTTATGTACATTTTTGCAACATAGTCTATTCTTTATGAATGTTGAGTTCTGAATTGTATGCCTGTAGGCTATTATAACTAAACGAAACTTTTACAAAAGCCAAACGTTTCCATATGAAGTTGATCAAACATTTGCCCAACTGTTCCGTCCCCCATAAAAAGAGACCGTTCCTCTGCACACAATCGGGCACTTGAGGATGAACTTGGGAGACAAAGGCGCGAGAGTCCATTGAGACTCACGCTTCGGCTTCTCCCGCACAAAGGCATGCTATAGCAAGCGGCTCAGTGGTGTACAAAAAGACGCTAAAGCTTTTCAAAATGTGTAGAGAAAGGGAGAAAAAATGCGCTGACAAAGGGCTGGGAGAAGACATTATGGACCAGCAATAAGCGATGAATAATTCAGATAACACCAATAGCAAATCCGGCCAGTTTTATAGACTGCGCGCTCAGAGAAAAATGGCCGTTTTCACCTACAAAATGTTCTTTTGGAGTGTTTCTCAGCGTCAGGAGATGGCCTTTACCATTCAGAGTCCGAGATAAAGAGACAGCATCTCCTTTCTCCCTATGACCTGAATTTCCCCCGAACACCTGTTGATTGGTGACCTGTTGAGTTTTCGGGAATTTAGGCTATAGGCTATCATAGGCCTTTCCCATTATGCTTATAGTAGGCTAAATGGACTTGATAGGCCTATTTACTTTTTACATAGTTATACAATTCTAGAAATGTGAGCATATTATTGTTGATTATATAGAAGTTCATAGAAGATGTCTGAAGGGCCTTCTTTGGCATTGCATATATATATATATATATATATATATATATATATATATATATATATATATATATATATACTTTTTTCTATTTTTATGTATCTATTTCGTTCCACTTATAGCAAATAAATCTAGGCCACATTAGATAAATAACTATCAAACGTATTATTATTATTTTATTTTTTACATTTTTATTTCCCCTCCAAGCATCCTCAAATGATTAAACCCACATCGCTCTTTTACGCATGGTTTTACTAGTCCTTACTGCGTCAGTCATCGCAGTGAAAAACTTTTCTAGTAGATTCAACTCAAACCTTTTATTCCTCCCCACTTTCATCTCCGGACAAAGCCCGCCCCTTTCCTCTTCGCCCGGGGCGCGCGCATTCATGCAATATAGCCGCTTTCCTCCCTCTTTCCAGGCGAGGCATCGCGAATACAGATCAGGATAGTCAATTGACTTTATTAACCTTTAAAAGTGACTCTCCCAGTTTGGTTAAGGTCTTTCCTGCGGGTTTGGAACGAATTTGTAGGCTTGTATTTTTTTTCACCACAATCTATAGCCCATTTATGGTGGTCCTTTATGATTGTGTTTCGATATCTGATATTATTCTCCCCCATTTTCTCTGTAATCTATTCGTGCTGATGCCTTGTTTAGATAGAAATATACAGCCTTGCGGATATTGTGAGATAGGCCTATGAACCGGATGTAGACGTTGTAAAAAGTCAGGAACAGCGAGCCATAATAAAACGTTTCAACAAGTGATGTTTGTTATTATGGCCACAGTATGATTTACAGCCTATTTATTTCCAAATATGCCAAACATCTGAATGAACTAAAAGTTATTGTTTTTATGTGTTATCTATTTCAAGAGAAATAGTTTAGTGTTATGGAAGGATTATTCCGTTTGTTTTGCTTTCATCCAGTACCTCCACCCTGTGTTACATTATCATCAGCATTATCATCTTTATCTTATCCATAATGACTAGATCAACTTATAAACTCAGTGCAAACACAAGTGTTGATCATGTCATATCTGGAACGTTGTTTGCTCAAATGATGACTTTCCTTTTACCCTCTGCTGTGTGTCTGTGGAAGTAGTTGGACTTGTTGTTTTCTTTGTCCTTTAATAAAGCTCTTAATTACAATATGAAAAGGCTATTTTGGGTATGGGGAGGGTGTCTTCTGGCCAAATATTGATTAAGTAGGTGTTTGTAGAGGCGATTGTTGCGGGAGAGAGAGGACTGTTGCTCTCTGCCTCTTTTTCTTCTGCCTCCATTGTTGTCTTCCCTTAAGTGCCGAGATCAAAGCTGCTCCATTTAGATTTATTTGTCTGGGAAAAGGCCACTGTAGAGTTCTGTGGCCGGGATGAAGTAGCTACGCTGGGACTGGGTAGCTACTAGATCTGCATGGCGTTACAGGGCACCTAGAACATTCTGGGAAAAGGATGCCCCCAAGCAAATTGGAAATGTTGCGCTTTTAATCCCACGGGGGGCCAGTATGAAAAATGTATGCACTCACTAACTAAGTCGCTCTGGATAAGAGCGTCTGCTAAATGACAAAAATGTAAAACATTTAAATGTAATCAGGAAATTAATCTGATGTTGAATGATTCCACTTCCTGTTTAACTGCAATAGTGAAGTTTAGGGGAAATAAAATATAACTATATATTATTGATTTACAGAGAAAGGCCCTAAAAATAGTCAAAGACTCCAGCCACCCTAGTCATAGACAGTTCTCTCTGCTACCGCACGGCAAGCGGTACCGGAGTGCCAAGTCTAGGTCCATGAGGCTTCTTAACAGCTTCTACCCCCAAGCCATAAGACTCCTGAACAGCTAATGAAATGGCTACCCAGACTATTTGCATTGTCCCCCCCCCCCTCTTTTACGCTGCTGCTACTCTCTGTTTATTATCTATGCATAGTCACTTTAACTCTACCTACATGTACATATTACCTCAATTACCTAGACTAACCTCTGCCCCCGCACATTGACTCTGTACCGGTACCCCCTGTATATAGCCTCGCTACTGCTATTTTACTGCTGCTCTTTAAATATTTTTTATTTAAATTTTTTATTTATCTATTTTTTACTTAACACTTATTTTTCTTAAAACAGCATTGTTGGTTAAGGGCTTGTAAGTAAGCATTTCACTGTAAGGTCTACACCTGTTGTATTCGGCGCATGTGACAAATAACATTTGATTTGATATAATTGCGTGTCCTTAAAATGGTTGTGTTATCATAATGATAAAAATGGTTGTAACTTGTACTAGAAGTAGAAGTGAGAGGCATTAGTAGAGGAAATAGTAAATAAATAGTTTATTTAACAACAAATGAATTTGGATGAAAAAAATATCTAGGAACTGATCCATCCAGATCTTGCATTAGCAAGTTCCATAAATGATACTGGCATGTAAAGTGCCTCCCGAACTGAATAGATGGTTACATTTATTAATCCATAAATACTGGCACAGTAAGTGGCTCCTAATTAATGACACCGTTCCTCTGTAGTCTATATGACTGTAACATCTATGGACACTCCTTTAGGCTCATTTAGCTAATTAAAAGTAACCAACTTCATGATAGAGGAGTGGCCTACTGTTGCAGATTCCATTTACAAAGACGGGGGAGAGAGAGAGAAGGAGGGAGGGAGGGGAGAAAAAAGGAAAAAGCTCAGAAATACAAACAGTCAAAGGGATAACTTCTCTTAAAATGGAGTCCTGCGGTGCCACATTGAATAAGCCCAGTTCTTTCAAATCTGCCATGGTGAACGCAGTCAACATGTAATAATTGGTTTCATTGAGGCACATTCCAACAATCTGCTCCTATTCTCCTGTCTCCATTGTCCTAGGGCAGGCAAATAGCCAGGGGACAGGAGGAATCAAGTGCTGAGAAAACATAAGATTTAGCTGCTTTTGTCAAAGAAAATGAGTAGGACTTTGTTTGTGTAAATAAAGTGGGGAAAATGGCTCCCCACTACTTTGGCATGGACTAAGAGAGAGTAGAGAGAGAGAGAGAGAGAAAAGAGACAGACAGAGAGAATAGATAGAGAAGAGAGATACAGGGAGAGAGAGAAAAGAGACAGACAGAGATAATATATAGAGAAGAGAGATACAGGGAGAGAGAGAAAGCGAGAGTAGAGGGAGAAAGTGAGACATTTATAAACATAGCATGCATACACCGTAATATGCATACTCTGCAAACATTCGGTTGAAGCTTAATCATATCAATGACTCCTATGATTTGTCTGAGTGTATATACACAAACCGTATAAACCAATTAGAATGTTTCATAATGCCTATTCTCCCAGGGCATTTAGAAATGTCATTAGACCCATGTCTATCACACAGTCAGTCAGTAATAGCCTAGTACCAGCGCAGGTCAGGAACACACCGATACCCCCTCAGATAGAACGGGTGAAACCATCAGGGAAGATCGACATTGATTTTCTATATTTCTATAACGTTGTGTATTCGACAGTGGTCCATGCGTTTTTACGCTGTCTTAGTGAATTAAGCAGGGGATTGAGAGAGATGGAGAGAGAGATGGGAGACTGTCT